TGTTATTAAAAATATACAAACCAAAACAAATGAAACCGAGAAAATGCATGATTCATATTCAACGCGTGACCCGGCGGGCGTCTCTTGATTTACCCGGAATGCGAATCCAGACTCAGTTAAAGTGTCGCAAAAAAAATGAAAACAACACGTTATAAATTCAATGCGTTCGAAACGCTTTTCTGGATTTTCCTTCATCAGGAACGCTCAAAGCTGAATATTTGAAAGGATGTATAAGAACCGAAACAGATCTATATGACCAAAAGTACCTAAAAATAGCCAAATCCATCTAAGGTCAACTTTGCCTGAATGCGCAAAATGGAGAAAAACACAGTCGATAAAATATACAATTGATTATACTGGTATTTCAAGTTCTAGGACCGCGCAACCATGTTTCTCATGAGTTAAGGCATATCGTAGCAGTCAACCAATTTATGACGATTACCATAAAACTTAAAACTTGTGTTGTGTTGGTTCATCCTCACTAACTTGCTGGTGCACATGTAAATAAAGTCCTCTATAATATGAACATGCACTTGTAACGTATTAATTGAAATAAGTCGACGTCGTACGATGTGATGGATGATATGTTACTACTGAGAAGTGGGAAGATGCAATTGGAAACTAAAATCATCACGTTTGTTATAGATCCTATATTAAACACGTTCATCTGTGTCAATTTTAAAAAAGACTAACATTTAGAAAATTTATTTTCTAGTTGCGGTTTGTAATATGTATTTGAAGTTCACTGGGATGAATAGGAAGTAAGCAATAGCTGAAAAATTGAGCGACAGGACATCATCTATACATCTGAATGTGAAATTTGAGATTGTAGAACGACGCTTAATCTTTTTTGTCTTTGAGCAGGACTTTAAATACTGATTGATACAAATGTAAAAACATCAACCACTAGGGATAAATAAAGTATTTTAATAATCGGCAATATGCGTAAACTATCGTTGCATCATATTCAAAGTTGAGATAATTTGCTTTTATACTTATATATAAACATGCCATTTCAATTAATATTTTATTGTGTGTCTTTTTATGTTGTAATGGTACACCACTGTTTCAGGTTAGGTTGAAGGTTGGCGCCTGTTAAAACGTTTAAACCCGCTGCATTTTTTATGCACCTGTCCTAAGTCAGGAACCTGTTGTTCAGTGGTTGTCGTTTGTTATTGTGGTTCATAAGTGTTTCTCGTTTCTCGTTTTTTATATAGATTAGACCGTTGGTTTTCCTGTTTGAATTGTTTTACACAAGTCATTTTGGGACCCTTTATAGCTTGCTGTTCGGTGTGAGCCAAGGCTCCGTGTTGAAGGCCGTACTTTGACCTTTAATTGTTTACTTTTTACACATTGTGACTTGGATGGATAGTTGTCTCATTGGCACTAATACCACATCTTCTTATTTGTATGTACCAATATGCAGATATTTGAATCGGAAAGCAACACAGAAATCAACTATAGTGTATACTAAACATTTCAGGCATGACCGATAATTTTGTTGTCGCAAATAGAGTTTCAGGGGTATTTATGACAGCGAACTTACCACTCAATTTTACTTATATCAAAACACAGTACAATTGTACGGTAAGCAGACATACGCTTTGATTTTATGGTCGTTAAAAGTAAAATAACAAAAATACCGAACTCCAAGGAAAATTCAAAACGGAAAGTCCCGTATCAAATGGCAAAATTAAAAGCTCAAACACATCAAACGAATGGAAAACAACTGTCATATTCCTGACGTGGTACATGCATTTCCTTATGTAGAAAATGGTGGATTAAACTTGGTTTTATAACTAGTCAAACTTCTCACTTGTATGACAGTCGCATAAAATTCCATTATATCTGTATACTAGATTTGCGATGCTTCGATACGTCAACACATTTACAACAGCAACGTTTATGATTTACTTGAACAACAATTAAAATTCAATACAGTTATAGCCGGGTAAAATGGCGTTCCGGCTAAATGGAAATCAAGAAGGAATATTTCGCTCCTTAAACTTTTATTTTAGCAGTCCGGCAAGACCGAACAACAAACTCCAAATCAAAATGAAATGTAACATACAAACAATAACAATATGTATAAGCACAAGCAATTAAAGGATTAAGAAGATTAACATATGCCAAATAGAAATAACAATAGATTAGAAGAATAATTAATGTCCGACACGTATAAGTAAATTATTGTCTAAACTGTTACAGAGAATAAATAATTAAATGACTAGAGTAAATGAATTTAAGTCCTTTGTCCAAGATTATGACACATAATCCGTGTAAAACACTTATGCCTAAATTTACGACAAAGTTCAGAATTATAAAATAAATGCAAAACAAGAATATACATTAAAACAATTGAATTCATAAAATGTTGTTTAACAACTAATTTCATTGCACAGTCCAAATTGTCCGGTCATATATTCCCGCGGCCCTTGAAGACACGACCCGGGTCTTACTGTTCATCTGAAATTGTTCCGAAAGTTTCTTCTGTGGTTGTGGCGTCCTCTGTAACGATAGTTTTGGTTTGAATAGTTATCTTCTCTTGTATTTTTCCGAAAATTGTCCAATTCGTCTTCTAGTTTGGTGATTCGATCCCGCATATGTTCTTTATCGCGTTGTAGATTGAATTGCTTATCGATTGCTTCACATCTTTGATCGTACAGCCCAAAATTAGATTCTTCAAGGTTATTAATGCGTTCACGTAATTTTTCCATTTCTTTTTGGTCATCTCCGTTTTGTTTTTGAAGTTTTTCTAGATTGCTAACAACACTGGTATGCTTTTGATTTAATTCTTTAAATTTCTTTTCATAGTGTACACTTTTGATATTACTAGAGTAAATGAATTTAAGTCCTTTGTCCAAGATTATGACACATAATCCGTGTAAAACACTTATGCCTAAATTTACGACAAAGTTCAGAATTATAAAATAAATGCAAAACAAGAATATACATTAAAACAATTGAATTCATAAAATGTTGTTTAACAACTAATTTCATTGCACAGTCCAAATTGTCCGGTCATACAGTTACCATTATCTTTATGTATACAATGGTGATTAATTCTATACAAAATTCACTGACATAGACAAAAAATAGAATAAATACGCAATTCAGTGAAATGCAATTCCAAAACCTAATACATGCGTTGACGACAGAAAAACAGAATCAGACCTATGGATAACAGAAATACATTCCTTAGTTTAAAAATAATTTTCAAAATTTAAAAACAGCAATCATGTAAGAAATAATATCCTTATTTGCATGCTTGTAGAAAAGTAATGGCCACTAGGGTAGTGTTGTTAAATATTATGTCAACATTTTCATTTGGCTTAAATATTTATGAAAAATTGAGTACATGAATGTGTAATATATAAATTATCAATGTACAATTACAGTTTCTGTAAATATTTAAAACTAATTATTGTCACGATAATAATTTCGAAAAAAAACATATATATATTTAGTAAAGCACCTCAGTATCTGGACAGTTTATTTCTTTAGTTAAACTATATATACATTTTAAAAGCAGATTTTAAGTTTGGGAATTTTGATCAACATTAAACAAACAAAATCAAAACTAAATATGTTGAGTTCCTCCACACGTTATACTTGTGAATGAACATATTTTATCGCATTCAGGCTATTCAAAGTGTGTTTGTAATTTTCTAGGAAACGAATAAAAGATCAAATGAGAAATAAAATAAAATCTGAAAATGACTATGAATTGATCTAGAGGTCAACATAAATATTCAAAATTAGGCAAGTTCTTTCTGACTTAATGTACAAAGATGTTTTGAATACTAAGTAGTATACCAGTGTTTAGTATGTATCTAATAAGTTCTAGAATTAAATAGACAAATACGGCTATTTTGTGTTTTCGACTTCGTCCGACCATTATCGCAAAGACCGTCATTATTTTATGATTTCATGTATTCCTTAATCAAACATAAGCCAGTAGCAAAATTAATATAGATTTGAAATGTTTGACATTGTGGCATGCCCGGGTATAATATAGTGCACTATATACGGTATGGATTTGCTCATTTTAAGGCCTAACGGTACTCTATAGTTGTTCAAATCCTTTGTCTGTAGTGGCTAGTTATCATCAAATCTGTCAATCATACCACAAATACCTTGTTTGGTATATCAAAATCATATATCAAAAACAAGTATATAGAGAGGTTTCTATTTACCAAGCTCTAATAAATATATAGACGAATATTTTACTCTTTTATTCGAGAAGATCACATATCGGTAGTTTTTGATTCGTCAGCATGTAAGTTTCAATAAATGAATAAATCGCCATTTCAAGCAACTTGTAAATTTGATAAAAATAATATATATATCTTAAGTTTTCGTTATGATTTGAAAGTTTCCGTTTAGTATGTTGTTGAATTATTTTTTATTTTCGACATCATGTTGTTAAAGGTAAGGACCTCACTCTTCCTGTCAATTGATATTGAATATTGTAGTAAAGATGTCATACCCACATCTTTAATTGTAGGTACTGTAAGGTGATACTTTCGAATCTTTTTTTTTCAGTTTTCATATTTTTATTTGAATTCGTTTTTACTGAACACATTTTACATGTATTAAGATTGTATTACATTTTTTGCTCATTTACGAAGATAATTTAATATGTTGATGTCATTGAACAGAATGAAAATAGAATGTTCTTCACACTTTGCTAAGTTTCTATGATATATAAATATTTAAACATCTAATTTATGTAAGTACTTGTATAAAGGCATGATACACTTTCAACTTTGAATTTATTGAAAAGTCCCTTTTTATATTACATTTCGAATTCGGAGATCTAAAGAAGTTAAGTGAGTTAAATTTTGAACTCGCTTATTTACGCATCACATCAAGAAAACGTTCACTCAATGTTTGCTGCATAGCTGTTTAATAATTTTACTTATTACATATCAACAAAAAAATCAAGACGGGTATGCTGCATAGCAGATTTTATTATGTTTTATATTAATATTTTGCAGAGTACGGTGACAGCTATGCAGCATCAACACTAGGCTTTGTTGCCCAGTCAAAAAGCAAGTACCTTTTTATTTCACACTAATGCTATTTCAACATGTTATCTTGAACTCCTGGAATTCTGTCTGTTAACTGTGTGAACTGTATGAGATTTAAGATGTAGTTCACTAGTAAACGAGTTCTGTTAACTCGATTTATTCATTCAATTTCATAGTTTTATTTCAACTGTTTGTAGCCCATACTTCATTACATAGAAAATTACAATATGCAGCAGAGGCAGGATCTGCTTATCCTCCCAGAGCACCCGAGATCATCCAAGGTTTTTGGCTAGGTCCGGGTTTGCCCAATTTTTAGTTTTCTCTGTAATGTTTTTGGAAACTTGTTTGTCTTTTCGTCGTCTTTCGATTTAATTTTGTCTTTGTCTCCCGACTTATGAATTTCCTCTTTGTATTTTTCGCCTTCTGTTTACAGCATACCTTGATCCTAATGACCAAAGTATAGAATTTAAAAAAAATATAATACTGAAATGTTTGATATACCTAGCGAAAATTGTCTTTAGCAATTGTCCTTACTATTAATGTCAAGAAAACTGTCATTTTTCATTGTGTGGATCGGAAACATCATTCTACTTACGAAGTTTTATATAAATAAGACCTTACTTAATTTCTAGAAAATAGCAACCGTTTCATTCGCTTGTAAAACGCGTAGCAGGGTTTAACAAAGCTGTCCTAGAACTAGGGTAAGTCTTAGACTATTCATTACTAGGTGCTTTTTATTTGCGACATATCACCTTTTTTTATGTTAAGAACGAGAAGATGCAAAACGGGCAACCCAAAATCATCAATCGCATATGAACAAACACTATCTTGGCCAAAAGTTGACGAAAAGATAAACAACAATCGGTGTCATGGGCGTGTGTATAACACATTAGGTGTGTTGAAACCAGCATGGAAATTAAAACCTATACGAATTTGAATATAAATAGAAAACAGGATGGACATAAATTATTCTCATTGATTAAATATAATATTATGATCTTATAATTTTCGACGTGAACATCGAAATGTGCACGAGTTGAAATTCAGAACATCTCAATCCTATTAATGACTAAGTATCCTTATTTGTAATATACGATATACTGAATTGTGTTTTTGATTCACAAATATATATTTGGACTCAATGAGTAAAGTGAAGATAGGAAACTATTTCTTCGAAGTAATTATAGCCTTCATCCCACCAAAACAAACCTTTTAGATGTATGGTGAAATTCCCCGATTGCACAAAAACGTAGCTTGTACATACGGAAATATTAAATTTGTGGAGAAACGATTTTTTTAACTAATACTCGAAAAACTGGACTCTTTTTGACTAAAATTTATTTGAGTAGTTTGAATAACTATAAAAATTCCCATACAGCATCAATAAGGCGTCGCTTGTTGACGTGTTAGACTATAAATGATGCTGCTTTCATTTGTATACTTTTGGGTATATGAAAGGTGTAATTTCATTTTAGACTTTATTAATTATTTATATGATTAGCGACAACAATCCGTTATAGCGCCTGGCAAGTTGTGGCAGTTTTTAACAGATCCTATGTCCTAATGTTGTCTGAAATGAACATCGTGTTATATATTAATGCATTTTGACAATTTTATTTCCACATAATGAATAAATGTTGAGCGATTATTTTATGCCATAATATAACTTGTCATTAAAACATATGAATCGATATGGTGGAAAGATTACATATTTTAATTATTAATTGTTAAGAGAGAGACAAAAGAAATCAAGTGGAATAAAAAACATCAAAACTAAATATAAAAGTGAAATCGTTTAAAAACATTTACGGATATATATAAATTATATTTATTTTTCAACGATAATTTGTTAAGTAGCAAAATATATTTTTTTTTCGTTCAACACAAGCTTAAATCATGTATGAAGAAAGTCAGTTAAAATATGATAAATTCAGGTAAAAACAATAAGTCATGCAACTTCTATGGCATGTGCAATATTATTTGCTATTCTCGGAACATCACATTAAACCTGTAGCATTGTCAAATAGGCAAGAGTAGACTTTATGGATCTTAAGACAGAGTAAACTTGTCCATATAATAGTTAGTTACGACAATGAGACATGTTAACGAAAAAAACAATTCGAGAATGGTCGGTTTATACTTTTTTTAGTCAGCATATTTGACTGTAAGAGGCAAGTATTACGCAATCAATTAAAGAAGCCAATTTTTGTCTATTCGTGAACAAAATTACAAACCTAGAATCAAAAGGCTGTGTTGAAATACAGTAATGACTTAACAGCATCTATGGAAGATTTATGTGTTTGTAAATGTTTTATCTGAATTTTAATTTTGTTGTTGAGTTTGTTTAAAGTGTATATAAATACCACCATTGAGTAAATTAATTTTGAGGCGTTTTAAAAGTTTGTTTGAAATTTGAACAAGTATAAACTTAACCGTGGGGACTCCATTGTACTATAATATCAAGGCATATAAACGTGTCTTTCGTGTACTTATGGTTCATCATTTTAGATAATTTGAAGTCTACTGCTATATTTTCTGGCTGTAATTCAAAAGTTATCATTCAATCTGTTTATTTACCAAAATGAGAACCAAAACATTTGTTTCTTCGTAACATTTCTGACTGCACCGTCATAAACATACATCAAAATGATTGAAACAACCACTTTAACGCTGACCAACCGTCAATTATAATTTAATTATCATCATTTGTTAAAATTATTTCTCTCTTTGATTTATAAACATTTTATCAATATAATTTGTAATTTCCAGATATAATCGCAATTATATGCTTGATCTTTTTCCATGTAATCATACGGAATTCTAACCCATCATATGAAACAGAGAAGACTTTTATTGAACATCAATCTCGGCAAAAATATAAAGCAATTTTCTTAATGTACCACTGAGATTTGAATTGTAATTATCATCTCGGGATGGCCAGCTCGAACTAGGGATCAGTTAACCTCGGTTTAATCAAACTTTGCCAGTAGCTATTACTCAAATGAAAACACCTTCTATGTGCGAATGTATCACAGCCCGTGATAGTTAATATGAAATTCTTGATTAGAACAACCAAATGGCCATTCTGTCGCAATTAGCTATGTTCGACTTGTCCGCTTCATTGAACGGGCACGTTCTGAAGTGATTGCCACGTGACTGGCTTATGATGTTCTCCTTACAGAACAATTAACTAGTTAAATGTTTAGATAACCAATTTGAAACACTTACCGGTAGACAAAACTTTTATCATATTTGAAGTTGTACTTACTTCTATATTTATAAAGATTTAATGAAGCGGAAACAAACCGTTGTTGTGCCGTCGTTTAAACTTCTGGTCGACTCTCTTTGTTTGTCGTAAATTATTTTGTTTAGCATAATAAAACTTGTGGCATAATACAGTTTCAATCTGTTCATTACCATATCATAGGGGATACATAATATTTTAAGGAGTTAATTTAGTCCAATTTTCATATGATTTAAACAATGTTGATAAAAATGAACGTCGATACTAGCAGTTTGTGTTGCGCTTATATATCTAAACGTAGCTAAATGTACAAATTCGAGGCAATAGAAGTTTACAGATGTTCAAATCTCAATAATCTAAATAAGAAAATATAAACTTAGGTAAAAACAAAACTGAAGGAGTCGCATCAACTCCTAAAGGAGCGACACCGTACGTTTCGTCGACATGCATAGCGTCTCCTGTTCTGCATACACGTTTACACAAATTTTGTAACATTTTATGTCATATATCATAGCAAATTATATTTACATACAAACAAACCTTCTCAAGATAAAGCCTTATTAAAAATTAGTAAATTTCAACATGCCATCAAAAGCACGATTTCTAATTGAATATATATTGTGTAATGCATACATTAACATTATTTTTAAGCAATGACATTATTATTATTCTATTTTAGAGCTTTCGGTCGTTCATTTTGCAAATATTTTTGATACATTAATGACGCTGAATATAAACGCTCATTTTCAATCTGAAGAAACCAAATGAACGACCGAATGCAATAACAATTATTCGGACTATGTAATTGCTTGTGTTGTTCCCTTTAAATTCTAATATATATATTTATTCAAGATGAAAGGCATGAATTTTGACAGACACAACAGATTAAAATGATATACAGATATAGCATTTTGGAGCCCTTTATAGCTTACTGTTCGGTGTGAACAAAGGCTCCATGTTGGAGGCCGTACCTTGACCTATAATTGTTTACTTTTTACACATTGTGACTTGGATTGAGAGTTGTCTCATTGGCACTCATACATACCACATCTTCTTATTTCTATGAATAGTTACAGATACTAAAATGATTTACATGTTTATTAAAAATCATAATTTAAAAAATAAAATTATGGAAATTGTCATGATATTTTGATATTAGATGAATTTAATAAGTAAATTGTATAGACTAGATTATCACTGCAGCCTAATACCCTAGGATGACCCACAATAGTTATTGGACTTATTTCCAGTGGGGTCCTTATATTAATTACTATGCAAACGATGTTTTCTTATTTCATTTATATCTCATAAATTGCATATATATTTCAGTATGAATTTGTTTCTACAAATACTAACAAAATTAAATCAAAATATAGTTTAACTTACAATATATTTTTTTTTAATATTCAACATGTTTAGATATTTTTTAAGATTTAGACCTGTAATGTTTTTGTAATAACTAGGTATTCTTTTTGTATATTTCCTTTACATGAAAGTACATTGTACATATAAAGTTTTTATATATGTCAGTTAAAATATAACAAGACCATGTAGAGACTGACAAACATGCGGGGGAAACCAGTCGAAATCGCATAACCGCCAACTAAAGTTGGATTTTGTGCTTTGGTAGGACAAACATTACTTACCTTATCAGTTGTCACACTAAAGATAACATAATAAAAGGAATTAAATAAATGGATAAAGTTGACCTGTTAGAACGAATATGATTCAAGATAACTAATAATGTGAGACTTTTTAGTTTTTCTGTGATTTTTTT